GCCGGGGCGGGTGTGCCTTGGGCATCTCGGGGGGAGTGAGGAGAGAAGGTAGGGGCGGCGGGAAGCGTGTGGGGACGTCCCCGTCTCGGTGTGGGGGCTTTTGGGTGCAGATCACAACCAAACAGCGGCTCTCCGGCCGTGCTGACTCGGGCGGTAGACCCCTACACGTTTAGCTTTGAAATGCTACCTTTAACGAACGTAAAAAGCACTGGGTTGCGGTGACTCCGCTGGTGGGAGTGAAGCAGGCTCCTGGTTTCTCATGGTGGGGTTTCATCACTGCACTCATGGCATGACTTAGCAGGTGTACAGGACTGAAGCAAAGCTGCCCCACGCACTCTGTGTTAATGAGGCTTTACTGCTGCTTGTTCTCCTTAGGCTCTAGCTAATATTGACATCGGAAGCCTGATCTGTAATGTAGGAGCTGGTGGTGGTGGTGCTCCAGCTGCAGCTGCTCCTGCTGGCGGTGCTGCGCCTGCGGGCGGTGCTGCCCCTGGTAAGTGAGCTTTTGTGTCCAATGTAGTGATCTTCAGCTGGAAGAAATACTTGGTTAAAAAGCTGCTTGTTGCCAGCTTGAGAGTCAGATTGGCTCTTCCTCTTGCAATTTTAATGTGGTTTGTGCTTTGTAGTATGCAAGTGGGTGTTCTAGAGCAAAACAGACCCTCACCTTTAGAAAGGCTGGAATTGCACTTTGAGTCAGTGTACAGGATCAGTGTTACCTCAGAATTAGGGCTGATTTTCCTGTGTCATCAGGATCTCCTCATGATGGCTAGAGGGGAGAGCACCTGCTTTCTAAAGTTTTTCAGATTTGATAGGAATTAATTTTGAAGGCACAAACCCACGTTCCTAGTAGTGGAAGCACTAGTCTCTTTGCACTACTAGTCTCTTTGGGTTGTTAGCTTAGCTTGTTAGGATTGCTCAGCTATCGCTTCTTGATGTTACAGTCATTGTATGTGAAGTCTTTTGTGGCATGTGACTTTTATGAGCTGATAAAATGGAAAAAGCCTTAAATGGAAAAATTCCTTTCTCCTTTTCCAGCCGAGGAGAAGAAAGAAGAGGAAAAGAAAGAAGAATCAGAGGAATCTGATGATGACATGGGCTTTGGTCTTTTTGACTAACTAGTTTTGTACCGGTCTATAATAAAGAACATCTAAATATACTCGTCTCCAATATGGATGCATGTGAAGGGGAGTGGATGAAGGATGGCCAGGTTACCTGCAGGTACCAAAACTGCTGTCATCACATGTTGATCTAGGGTTTTACAACTTCCCTTGTTGGTTCTCCATACTTAACATAGCCATAGCACAGTGACAGTTACAGCTCTAAATTGTATTCATAGCGTATGGACAAAGGTGGAAATGTAATCACAGTGCATGTGGGACGTGGTAACAGCTTGGCAGGTACAGAATGTGGTCATGTTTCGCAGAAGTGCTATGACTTGGTACTGCAGTCAGGAGCTGCTTGTGCTGCAGCCTTTCTGTGAAGCTGCAACATGTCTTAATGCTTTAGCAACAGCCCAGCTTCCATCTTGGGCAGTTTCTAGTACCAGGTGATCTAGCCTGTTCAGGGGCAGCTAAGGGCTGTGGCACAGCAGGGATTGTGTGCACTTCACAGCAGAAGTCAGTTGTTGAGCTGAAGAGTGGGGAAAAAGGCTGAAATTCTCAGCTAAAGGCCTTTGTTGGAGGCTAAAGCTAGGATACTGTTTATTCATGAGTAGGTATAATTTAAAAGCAGATTGAGTCTTGCAGTGCTAGGCACCGAGGCACCAAGCCTAGGTTGTGTAAGGTGTGTAATTTTTTTTGCCTTTCCACAAAGAAAGTTAAGGAGCATCTCTGAAAACTGCTTTGAAGGGTAGGTGTGGAAGATTGTGTAACTTTACATATGAAAAGAGTAACTTAAAGTATGTATTTCTAAAACAACTTCTGAACAGGACTTTTCCAGAGCAACTGAGCAAGGTAAGGGCTGTCTTTCTAATGTGTGTATTCTAAAATATTAAATGAAAATTATGCATTAGCAAAATGTTCAAGTGTGTAAGGACTTCAAAGTTACGTAGGAAGGTTGTTCCACATCTAGACCTACAATGGAAGCACTCTGCACTGTCCCATCTTCCCACAACACTGGAGCTCATTTCTTTTTTGAAAGATGCAGGCACCCATGGATGAATTTAGTCCATGCAACCCCCTGCTGCTGCTGTGAACTCTCTACTGAGCTTCCAAAATAGTTCCTGCAAACCACTCAACTGCTACATTCCCCCATCCCTTTTTAAAGAAACCTTCCCCTAGGAAAATTTATTTTAAGTGTGTAAAGGAGTGTAAGGAGTGACACCACTGTAACACCACAAGTAACTACAAGTCACTTACACAGATAACACTGACTTGTTCCTGTGCTCCATAGTTGGAATAAAAATTGCTTTCTGGAAGACTACTCAAATCTTGGATTTCTGCCTTGGTTGCTCCTTAAGTCCTGCACAAGAGAATTCTTAAAAGCTTGCAGATTAGAGTAGGGGGGAAAATTCCAAGCAGAGAAAACTCACGGTTTCTTCTGCAGTGCATGCACACACAAAATAATATACCCAGAATTTCACTGGTAACACCTTTTTAATAGGTCAAAGTAACTGTACAGTTCATTATATTCTTCCTGAGAATAATTTATATCCCTCAACAGCAAAAAGGGAGTGTGGTTTTTATTTTAACAGAACAGATGGCATAACTGGAAAACCAAGGAAAATCTAATTACACTGGTCTACTGTAACTCCTCCCAGGCAAGATAGACAAAAGGATGGGTTAGTTAACTACAGTGGGTTTAAAATATTCAACATGGCTTTAATCTGTCTTTATAAATTATATAAAAATGGGGGACATGAATGGTTACAGAACTCCTCTAAATGCAGCTCTGAATTGCTCTGGTACAAAGCAGCATTTTTGCTTCCAAGGAAAACAACATTGCTACAAAAGAACTGGCACATTATTCTGGTGAAAAAGACGAGAGTTTTCAGTTGTGTTCTACAGCTAGTTCCAAACAAATGCTTCACACATTCACATAAAAGTAAAACGCAGGAAGATGAAGAGGGCTTTAGTTTTGTCTTGAAATGACTGAAGTCTTGAAAATATAGCTTTTTATTCTTTCTCTGTAAATTGTGATTAGCATATTGCGACGTAAGTGTTCTAATAAAAAAATTCCAGTCTGGATAGTTCATATACTGTGGGCAAGAATTCTCAGCCCTGAGGTTTCCCCGAATTCTTCACTTCACAATATCTCTCTGATCTGCTGCTCAGACAGTTCTGGCTCTGAGACCATAACCCTGTGGCAGCTCTAGGCTAAGCGTGTCCCATGCGATGGTATAAAACTGAAGTGCGCTCCATAGCCGTGATTTCCCGAGGATTTCTGTACAAACTTCATCTTGTGTTAATGCCACTTTTTGAATCCCAGACCAGCTTGGCTTTATGATAAAAACTTGGTTAAACTTTTGTAATGAGAGAGAACCAACAGCTGTCAGTCAGGTCTGCTGAAGCAAGAGGCGCTGGAAAGCCAGGACTACACTGGGTTAATCCTCACTGCTGGTGGAAGGTGAAATAACATCCTTTCGCAAGCAGAATTCTTAGACTGATAAAACTCTTCCCTCAGTGCTTAGTGCGGTCTGGACTGACTGATCATTTTCAGTCTGGCTTGATCAATAACATCCAGCAAGTTTTTGGCATCCACAGCCAGAGCGTGAGCAGCCGTCAGCATTTGCTTTTTGTACTCCTGCTGCAGGCTGGTCATGACATACTGCTGTGCCAGTTTCATCTTGTTAATGAGCTCAGCCAAGTCAGAGTTCAGCAGCTTCTGTGCCATCTCAATCTGGAACAAGAAGATTCAGTCAACTCTGTAAAGTCATTAGAAGCATTGCACTCGTGACTGCGATACTACAGAGCAATGGCACTATCCACCCTCATAGCCCCTGCTTGAGATTTCTGATTGAAGCTGGGGCCATTCCTGTGCACACCATACAGAGCAGATGCAATTTTGGCACCTGCTGGTCTACCCTGTGTGGAGATCAAGAGCAGCCTTGTCAGCTGCTGAGCCGCCCACCTTTAAACAGCACCGAGACCCAAATCACTGGTAATGAATTTTAACCCAGGTCTAAGAATTAACACCTTGTTCTAGGTTTCCAGGTCCCTATTATCATCACCCTTTTTATTACTATTGTTAAAGTAGCTCTGAAGCAGTAAAAAATAAAACAGGTCAAGAAGCCGGATACAGGTTACTTAACCACATAGCTAAAGTCAGGATGATTCTCTAAGATGGCACTTAAAGAACCATTCTCTGGCTTTCTCTTTATCGCACTCATTCAAGGTTTTGGAGGAAAACAGTTTTACTCCTGACTCATGAACTTCACTGAAAGATCTCACGTCACTTCTCATCCAGAAGTAGGTTATTATGGGATATCTCATCAAAACCTTCCAGCTGCACTAAGCTATGCTCAATTACCTGTTTAATGACTTTGCGTGCAAGCTGCAGTTTAATGAAAGATTAAACTTGCACTAAGAAGTTCTGCGTAAGCACTGCTAACAGTTTTTATGTCAACTTCATATACGTGCGTGTCGTATGCTCTTCAATTACATCCAGTTTGAGTGTCTTCACTTAAGTCAATACAAGCCTATGTCCAGACAGCAACTGGATTCTAATAAAATTAATTTAATGAAGAATTATAACCCGAGAGTTCATACTGCTTACTGAGTCAAACCATGTGCAAAGAGAGAGCCAAAACATGTCCGGATAGCTGTCCTGGCTGGGGCTAACTTGAAACGTAACAGACTGAGCATCAGGTGAGGGGAGCGCTATGTACCTCTCTGTGGGTGCTTGCAGGAAGCACAGGGAGGGTCTCATCTACTGTTGCCAGTAAGGTTCTTAACGCCAAACCAACCTCCTAAGAAAAAAAAAAAAAAAGAAAATAAGGTTTAAAAACTTGGAATGAATGGATGAGAGACTTGTAGCCAGAGTGCAGGAAGCAACGGATACACTTAATTCCTTATCTGGATAAGAAGGGAGTTAGAACATGGCTGAGGGACTTTGAAAACCCCACTTGCAATTCCATGTTTCACCATCAAAACAAAATGCCAAAGGGTTAATAAAAAAAGTTCTTTTGAAAAAGTGAAACGTAGAGAAGATAGTGCACAACTCACTGCCCCTGGATAAGCGCAGGCAAGCTGGGGAATAAAAGCACCGTTTCCCACAATACTGTTAACAGTATCCAACGCTCCAGCACTCTGACCGCAAGTTACCCCTCCAGCAAACACAAAAAGCTTTTCTACTTCCAACTTTCCAGAAAGTTTCTCCTGCGCCACTTGAAGACCTCATTCAGGAGAGAACTAAACCACTGATTTTAAGAATTGCCTCCATACCTTTACCATGGGTACATACTCCTCCGGTGGAGCTGGCTGTATTTTACTGGACATTTCTATCACCGCTTTCACCAGCCCAGTTACATTCTCGTAGACTTTGTCGTTGGAGCGGTCCAGGTTGGCTGTAGGAGGAGGGCTGATTTCCTGCGGCTGAATCTGGAAGCACAGAGGGGTTGTTTAACCTCCTGTCCCCAGCAGATGGGGCTCAGCAACTTCCCAACCTCCGCAGACCGCCGGGAAGGTCTCGTACTTGCAACAGCCCCCCCACCCGCTCCCGCTGGGTCCCCTGTCCTAGCTGAGCACGCTCGCTCCCGGATCTGAAGGAAGTTTCCTTTAGTTCTTCTGACTGAACCTGATCTGTGAAATTACACTGGGGAATTTTTACCGGGATTTCCCCGAAGAGCTTCCAGTATAACTCCCACAACATAGAAGGAAATAATTTGAGGAACGAGGAGTACAAAGTACTTGTCACGTCTAAGTGGTTCACTACTGATGGACAAGTTCTACTGCTAAGGCAACAGGTATCAGGTCCCTCGTTCCAGAAAGTTGTCCTGTGCTCCAAAACAATGTCAGAATACATAGTTAACATACTGATATATTAAAGAGAGAATATTGCAGTACATATTATTGTTTTGTTAGTGAAAATTCACAGCAGATTAACAAAAATGGTGTCACCAGTACAAGTGGGAAACACTGAATGTTTTCATACAGTTTGTTTCCAATAGATCAGAAAAAAACCAATAGGTTAAAAATCCTGTAGTCCTTACTCAAGCAAAACTTCCATTGAGTCAGATCTGTCTAGAGTTAAAGCCAAGACAGACTGAAATAATCCTGGGTCAGAAAAGAAACAAACTTTGAAAACTTCCTCTGTAAGGTCCTCAGTATCTTTGCACCTGGACTGTAAAACTACAAGCATCCCAGTTCCCTGCAGCTCCTCACTGCTATGGGATGCCCAAGCAACCACTCAGCGGGAGCAGAAGGTTAAAAAATTGCTTATTTCCTACTGGTCACACAGCAGCCATCCACCCTGTTGATCTGAGATGGCTCATGGCATTTCAGCCCACCACACGGGGTTACTACTGGTTCTTACAACTGGTCCTAGCTACAGAGATGTTTCACTGGAAGCACATGAGATACCACCCTGATGAAACTATAAAATAGTTGGATGAAACTTTGTCTAAGGAAGGAGTGCAGGATTTAGTGCATGGTGATTCCATTTTGTGGCATTTCATTAAGTGGGTACTGACAACTATTACAGAGATTCAATCTAGCGTACTGATCAGGAAAAAGAATATTGTAATTGCCTCAATCACCAGTGAAAGGCTGTGATTCTAATTGGTTTCAGCAATCGAGAAGTTAAACAGTCATCTGGCAAAGTCACATGCAAAGACATTTTGGAATAGGGCACGTACACACACGCTCACGCACTGCTTACCCTCCATGGCTATGGTTGAGCAGAATGTGGGGGAAGGTTAAAGAAATTTACCAAAAGAAGGGAAAAAAGAAAAACAATATTAATAAAACTCAGCAGCAAAAAAACCAAACCAAAACCAAAACATGTGTAGCAGTAAGAGACCAGTTAAAAAGCAACAAAAATGCATCCTCCACAGTATCGGCAGTCATTCATGTTAGCTCTTGGTCCATTTGTTACGGAAGCACCGTGTGCTCAAGACCTGCTGTGCACCCGCGTAGGAAGTGGAAGTATTTGCCATGCACCCATGCTTACTTTTTACTAAACACATGGGGAAGAGATCATGCAAAGCTTGACAGGAGCAAGCCAGTCTGGCGAGCAGCAAAGTGGTGAATGGAGTAGAGGGCCTCTGCAACGGTGGGAAACAACATGTCCTGTGCAACCCTGGTCCCTTTACACAAACAATCCACAGATTTAAGAAAATGTTGTTTTCATCTTTCTGAAACTTTTTTTTTTCCTTTAGAAAAGTCATGATAGGAAATACGTGGTCATCTAACTGTGCAGCTCCTGTTCACGATGACTAATCAGAGTCGTGGTTAAGAACTACCAAGAACCCATTCTGGATGGATTATACCCAACCCACTTAATTCCTACAGCCAGGCCCTAACATTTCAAGAGTATGGACATCTGCATTTCTCAACACTCGATTTTTTTTGTTTATACCCAACATGAACACTATTGCTCTGCAGACTACGAAGTCAGGAGTTTCTTTGTGTGGACTGGCTGACTTTGCCTCAGCAAGTAACACAAAAGCATGTATTTCCTGGTGCATGCCCTAAAGGTTCCTGAGAGCAAGCAGTTCAAATTCTCTTATTTTAATTTGTATTCTGCAGAAAAGAGAGACTGAAATGGGAGTCTGAAATGGGTGTACAGAAAGGGGAGTCTGAAATGAACCCCAGAAGCATCTTCAGTTTAGGACTGCAGACATTAACAAAGCTATATGCTATTAAAAAATAATGGGTTGTTTTCTTGAAGGGGCGTAAACCAATCCAATTTCAAGAAACTCTTGACAGAAAAAACAAAATCAGCCCTTCTTTTCTACTGGAGAAGCTATTTAGCACACGAATCTTGTTCGCTTGTTATTACTGATGACTTTGGCTGCTCAGGTTGGTTTATTGTCTAACGGATGTATTTTGGAAAACATTTTTCATGTTCCAGTATCAGCATTTAGAAAGGAAATTTTAGAGAAGCCAAGTTTAGTAACACATCTGTTACTGTTTTTTGACATTTTCTGAGGCTTAGCAGCTTGAAAAGCATTGGCATCAGTTTATAATAAATAATCCTGCTCAAATTCGCCACTGCTGTCTATTTACACTGATTCTTAAATATTTCGATAATCTTGGACAAGAGAGCAAGAATGAGAAAGGCAGGCAGTGGCTGAGATCGATTTGTGCTAAACATATTGCTTTGATGGCAAGTTTTGAATTTCATGGTCCGATGAACTGTATTTTTTCTGTATTTTCTTAAATCGTCTAAAATAAATGTCACTTATCACAACAGCTGTGTCTACCACAACATGGATTCTCTACTACAGGCTTGGCAGGGCTTAGATTAGCAGGAGGTTCTCCTTCTGTGAGGAGCTGTACTATTAGCACTAGCTATTGTATTACAGTAGGGATTGCCCTGGTGTATTTGTAGAAGCCTGTGCTCTAACACAGACTCCACCTTTTTACTCTGGGAAATAGACAAATACATCACCTCCCTGGGTGCTACTGATGGCATCAACTGACAGAATGGGAGCAGCAGCAGGAGTGATCCTGCTTTAATGCTCTTGTCAGTAATACTGCTGTCAGACCAACAGTCTTTGTGGAGGGGTATTTGTTTAGCTGCAAAGGTTGTGAAATAATAAAATGGCGATGTGTATAGATCAGCTGCATTTCTGTTAGAGTATTACTGACAGAGAATTCCCAACCACTATTATATCTAGCTGCTGGAAACTGCTTGCATCAGAAATAGCTCCACTGGTTCCCCTCGGGAGGCCCTGAGGTCACTCAGGTTTCTGTTTCCTGAAGATTAGAAAGGTAATGGAGTCCCAAAGGCAGGGAACACCACCTAAAGGCATGATTTTAAAAGTGACTGACATACTAAGGAGCAGTTCCATTGACACCAACTGCAACAGGGGACAGGACGCTGTGTTTCACAACACCCTGCAGCATCTCTCTCTTAGAAAATGTAAAGTTTAATTTTTGGCTTTATTGCCTATTTACTGGAGATGAAACAACACATTAGAAAGTATCTCAATCACAGGTCAGACAGCCTATTTCCCCTCTTCCCTTGTTCCCCAGAGCTAGCAGGGCTTTAGGAGCCTTGGTGCTGCAGCAAGAGCTTTTTGGAGCACCACAGTTCAGACACGTCTCACTTCTCTGTGACTGAGGACAGGAGACTTTGGCACTACCTGAGTAATTGGGAACCCTGGGTGTGCTCCTTCCTGCTTAACAAAGCTGCTGAGCAGGGAGGCTGAGTCCACACAGGAGATCTCATATGATCTTCAAACTAGAAATAAACTCACCTGGGAAAGGTTCAGGGTGAGGAACGTGCTGAATCACAGCAATGGAGGACATGAGCCTACCAGTTAACTTCCCACTTCCCTGGAGAGCTGCCAGTGCATGTTTGCCCCATGACAACATTTACTTGGGAAGTTTACTTGCTTTTGCTTTCCACGGTCTCTACTCCAGGAACAGCAAACTATCTCAGAGTGATAATGTTTAATTTTCTGAAGCATATTTCATGTGACACTGAGCAACGTACCTTCACGCCTTCATTGTAGCTGTCTACAGGGCTGTTCAGGCTTGCAAGGCTGCCCAAATGGCTGGGGGCTCCAGGGCGGGGAGGTTTCTTTGGTGGAGCTGCATGATCTGGTTAACAAAACAATTTGCATTTTAGAGGACCAACATATCAGATGTACCTGCATAATTTTGGTCTGTCAACACTACAAAGACTACACGTGCTTTACTGTACTAGCAGAGGAGATGTACATTAATGTGTCTTACAGTAAATCCACTGTTTGTAGGAGCTACACTTTAATCTGTATTTCTACTGAAGAAATGTAGACAGAAAAGGTTGTGAATTCATCAAGTTCTCCTGTGATTATGAGAACATGGCTGTTTTAGTAAGGTACTTCGAAAATCCCTTTATGGGGCAACTGACACTCATCTCAGTATACCTACCCCAGGCCTGAGAGGTACTCGCCCCTTTGTACCACAGCTGAGTGCCACACATGCTGCATATGTCTGGGAAAATCAGACTTATTCGTGGCAGAAATTCTGTGTGTGATTCACTCTGAAATTGAGAAACCTAAATTTAGGAGTCTACTTTTGTTTTACATGTCTGAACTCCACACAGGGTGAAGTCCCACAGAGTGACTCAGCTTCCTCTAGACACTTCCCGCCTGTTGATGAAACACTTTCTTGGCTTTGCTGACTACATCTCTGGGGACTGCACGGGGAATTCAAACACATAGTGCACCGAAACACCTATGTGTAGTTATCTGAAATTGAATCTAGCCCTTGTATGAAAATACTGCAATAAACCTTTGTTCACTACTGCTTCTAGAAGACTTGTAATCAAGAATTCAAGATGACAGTATATGAATTTACTGCTTACCTGGTTTACCCACAGGCTGATATATGTGCTGGTTACCAGCCTATAAAATAAAATATACATTTAGACTAGTTATTACAGTGCTCACAACTTTCATCAGCACAACCTCAAACACTGAGAGTAGCCAGTAGCCATTTCCCAACAGTTAAAAATACATCCCTATTCACCATCACTAGCTAAGCTCCTAACTACAGGTATATTATTTATACAGTAAGAAAAGAATTTTCATTTATTTTGTATCACTCACAACAGCTCTGGCCTCTACATTACAGTTTAACCTTCATTATTAATCAAATGTGGTGGTATATTCACAATCATTTTGGTCTGTATTCAGAGATCAAACTGTAGAAGTCATGATGAAGAAGAAATGGCAGTGCAACAATCAGAAGACTACGGTATTTCTGCACTGCTGAATGGTTTCCATAATGGCAACAGATTTCTAAGCTGGTTTACTTTTTGGTTTTGTTGCAAAGCTCTTAGTCAAGGTCAATTTGTTTATTCATCTGGAAGCATTTAATAATTGAAGTGACTTTCCTTGGTAATTATATTTATACAACCTTCATGCCAACCTCAGCTGCTGAGGCGAGCAGCTCCAGTGCCGGCAGGATCGGCAGCGGAGCACTCTAGCATGTGCACAGAGGGGTTTCCTGAACCGGGGGAACCTGAGAGGAGCGGAGAGCCCCGCCAGGAGCCCGCAGCTCGCGCCACAGCGGCTGAGGAGACTGGTGCGGGGCCAGGCGATGGCCAAGCCCCCCTCCCATATAAAAGAAACCCCTGGAGAGCGCTAGCCGCCAGGGCGGGAAACAAGATGTGGTGCTGCAGTTCGCGCTGTAGGGTGCACAGGAAGGACGCTGAAGCTCTGCCAGCTTGACCAGGGATCAACGGTATCCACCCGGCAGAAGGCCGTGTCCTCTCTAAGCTCTGCACCCACCACGACTGACGCAGCTTCCCAGACAGAGCTCCGGTGGGAACAGGCAGCCGCCCAGGTGCCAGGCTGCAGGCTGTGCCTGCTCTTACGCCAGGACCGGCCGGCAGCAGTGAGCACACCTGAGGGAGGTGGCCCAGGCAGAGGAGCTCCTCTGCTTGGTGACAGAGCTCCGGGAGGAGGTGAGTAGGTTGAGGAGTATCAGGGAGAGCGAGGGAGAGAGAGACTACTGGAACCGCACCCTGCCATCCCTGGGACAGGCCCAACAGGCAGACAGGACACACGATACGGAGGACTCCCTGTCCTCTCTCCACGCGGTAGAACGCATTGACTTGAGGGATAGAGGCAATGGTGACAAGTTCCTGCCCGGCGCAGCAGGCGTGTCTCGTCCGTGGCTACCCCACCTTCCCAGGTGCCTTTGTGTAGTAGGTATGAGGCTCTGCAAGTGGAACCAAACAATGACGAGGACGATGGTTCATCTAGCTTGGAGGTGTCAGCGAGGTTAAGTTGGCCTATGCCCTGTGTCAAAACCACTTCCATAAAGAAAAAAAGACGAGTCATTATTATAGAAGATTCTCTTCTGAGGGGAACAGAAGGCCCAATATGCTAACTGGACCCACTTCTTAGGGAAGTCCGCTGCCTCCCTGGGGCCCAGGTTAAAGATGTGACGAGAAAACGTCCTACCCTGGTATGGCCCTTGGATTATTATCCATTATTGAGTTTTCATGGAGGCAGCGATGAAGTTGCAACAAGAAGTCCAAGGGCGC